GAAATGTTGAGTTTTGTTAATACCATCTCTTCCCACAAGTCCCAGGCCACTGGCTTCTTGGCTGATACAGATATCTGCATGCTCATGAAACTCTTGATCGTGTTTATTGGATGCACATGAATCTATCCGTATGATTAAATCTATCCATATGCTCTTCCAAAGAGCAGATCCCACTTGACTTCTGTCATTGTATTTATCCTCACATTATCCTGTGAGAGGGTCCAAGAGCTAGTTTTCTCACCTTCCTTCTCTTGATGCCACCGCCGAGCAGGCACAATGAGACTGAGTCATGTCCTGGCATCGCAAGAAGGTCCCGGAAGGGAGATGGATGTGCACCGAGGCCTTCAGGGTCCAAGCCCTCACGTCTCATGAGGTTATGATAGGGTGTGTGTGGGTGTGTGGGTGTGTGGGTGTGTGTGCGCGTGTGGTAGAATTCTTTGGCTAAGGCCTTAAGAGAAAAACTACCCCTAGACCCAAGAGAAATGAAAGCAGATGTCTGTGCAAAAACTTGCATATGAGTATTCATAGCAGGCTTATTTTTATCAGCTAAACAGGGGGAACAATTCAGATACCCATCAGCTGATGAATGGACCCATAAAATGTGGCATACCATATAATAAAATAGTATGCAGCAATAAAGAGACAAGGAATTTTGATACATACTACAACACAGATGAACCTTGAAGACCTTGTAGAAAGGAAAAAAAATAAAACCTACTCTGTGTGGTTCTGTTGCATGAGATAGAACAGGGAACTCTCCGGACAGGAACTAGGGAGTGGGAGCCCAGATCCGGCAGCACCAAGGAATGGGACACAACTGCTACCGGGTATGGGGTTTCTTTCTAAATATCCACATTGTCAGTGCGTGACTGGTACGGCATATAAATTATATCTTGATAAAATTGTTTCAAAACCCAAACCACTACTAGTGGAATCATTAACTCAGTAGCAATGCTTTGCTGAAGAGTGTGGTCCCTGTGTGCTCTGATAAATCTATGTCTTGCCCCAGAGAGCCTGGCTGTTGTCCTCTCACATAATTCCAGTGGAAAGGCTTTAGATGGGAAAGATAGGATCCATAGATTTCTCCCCAGGAGGATTCCCCACCTTTTTTGCATAGAACATTTAACATTTTATGGAATCACTCTTAATATTCAGTTTTCACTCCTGTGTTTCGAATCCTGCTTCAAAAAGTAATCCCCGTTCTAAGATGATAAATCTCATTAAGTAATTTTTACTCTAATGTTTTCCTCTAAGGTTTGTCTTTTTATATTTAAACTTCTGATTCATCAGGAATTTAAATAATACACTGGAATCCAGATTGGTTTTGTTTGTTTTGCCAAAGAGCAAGCTAATTATTAACCAGAGGCTGGGCACCTTGGACTCCCCAGAGCGGACTGTAAGAAGTGGGTGGGCTTGCATGCGAGTGCCTGTGCACACACATTTATTTTCTAGGTGAACAGGGTGTTAAACCTGTTTTATAACCGCCTGGGGCCCAGGCTGAGCCCATTCCCATGCACGGAGGCCCAATCCTGAACCCTGGAACTGACTGCTCCTGGGCGGTCTTGGCCACACCCCCCGGGAGCCACACCACGGGTCTCCGGGGTGAGTATCTGCTGAGGCAGGGGCAAGGGAGGCTTTCACAGGCCCTCCCTGGGGTCTGTGAAGCTTTGCTTTGCTGATCACCAGCTGACAAGTTCGCGGAGCTGATAGACCATCTGAACTGCCAAGGTGAGACCTTCCTGTCACAAAGACTTTGCTGAGGCTTACAGTCCAGGGTGCAAAGAACCGATAAGCTGCAAAGACCAGGGCGGTCCTCATGTGCAGCTTCCCACGTCACGTATGAACATACAGGCGACGCCAGTGTGGGCTGGCCCTGAACCAGCAGCACCGCTGGAAGCTTGTTAGAAAAACAGATTCTAACCCAGTAGGCCCACCCAGACCCGCTGAGTCGGAAACTCGGCCAAGCGTAGTTCAATAAACACAGTGACAAGATGCGCATTCACGTTTGTGAACCACAAGAGGATCCGAGGGTGAAGACTCAAACACCCCGCTCCATGGAATTTCATTTCCATGTGTGGAGTGGGACAGGCAGAAAGCAAATAAGTTAACATTTCATGAATATAATTTTCAGAGAGTACTGGGAAGTTCTGTGAAGGGGAAGAGAGCAGGGGATGTGAGGGACAATGAGCAAGGGCTAATCTAAAACAGGCGGCCTGAAGCGCTGGGGATTTAGCTTAGTGGCACCGCGCCTGCCTCGAAAGCCTAAGGTTCTGAGTTAAATCTCCGGCGCAAGATAAATAAATGAACAAATAATAACAGGTGGTCTGGGCAGAGAGGGTCTAAGAGGAGATCAAATGGACAAGAGCCGGCCATGCAAGGGATCAAGGAGCAGAAAATGAATGCGTACAGTTTTGTGCAGAAGGAACAACAGTGCGAAGACCCTGAGGCAGCACCGAGCTTGGCACACGAAGAGCACAGTGGGCAAGGAAGGGTGAATAGAGGTGAACTTGGGGAGAAGCAGGTGCTGGGGGCAGGCTTAGCATTTTCTCTTGGTGCAAGGGAAGGGTACTGGGCAGTTCTGAGCAAACAGAGGTGCAACCTGATTTACCTTTTAGCAAGATGCTTCTGTGATGAACAATAGGGGACAAAGGTAGAAGCAGAGAGACCAGTTAGGAGTATATTGTAGGGACAGTAGTATATTGAGTGGACTAGACCAGCGGGCAAAACAATAATTTAAATATACAGACATCTAACCATAGAGACATTTTTTTCTCCCTGAGAACATCCCGGTCTCCCTACACACACACACACACACGAATTATCATTGGTTATCTTTGGGGGTGAAAAGGGCTGGTGAGGATTGTTTTGCATCTTTTTGTACACTGTACATTTTGATCATGTGCATGAAGTATTCTTACTTAACATACAGAAAATACAATTTAAAAACTAGAATCAGGGAAAACAGACTAGGCCATGGCCGATCAGTATGGAAAGGGAAGCAGCCCACCTCTCACAGCAGGCCCTCTGCCCTCCAGAGGCAGAGAGCTGCAAACTGGGGCGAGCCCACATTCTTGGGGTGGGGCCGAGGCACCTTCTCTCTTGGACCCGCTGGACCTGGTTTCTGTGAGGCAGCTCTGCTAGTGTGCACTGCTGTGTGTGCTGCCCTTGGGTCTCCTGAGGAACAAATGCAATTTCCTGGGACTGCTGCATTTCCCAGGCTCCCCACTGCCTGGCACCTGGCCCACCAGGAGGCCAGGAAGCCTTGATTTAACTGCCTGATTGGCCGTAAACAGAAGGAAGTCTCGGCTGGAAGAAGAGAGTGGCCTACAGCATCTGACTTTTCCTGTCAGCTGATTAGGATTTGTAGTGCCTGAGCAAGGTCAAATGAGATTAGGAAGAGACGCGGTGTGTCTGGTACGCGTTTCACATAACTGCGTCATTCCTGTAAACAGGATGAATGAGGGGAAATTTTAAAGCAAACACCAAATGTCAGTCTCAAGATGCAAGGACAAGATGCCAGGGCTCATGTTATGCCAGGAGTGGAAAAAAATGTATTTATGTGTGGGTGGCATTTCCCATCCTCTGACTTTATCAGGCTTTGCTTCTTTGTTCATGCTGCAGAAGTTAAAAAGTGAGTTTTACATCTGATTGTTGAAAGCAGTGAGCACAGAATAAATAAAACCACAGGAAAGCCATATTCTACCTTTATCATACTCCTAACTCTCTTAGAAGAGGTGTGGGGCTACTTTCTGTAATAACAACTGCCTGAGCGTCCTCATGGAGCCCCACCTCTCAGGATGCAGAAGGGAAATCGCACATCCAGCACCAGCCCCAACATTTTGGACGTGGATGACGCTGGGCATGCCCACAGATCTGTGGGTAAACCCACTGGGAATTTTCCTCGTCCTCAAAATCTATAATTTTCTTTCTCAGATCACCTCTCTGCAGGGGTGGTATGGCTCTCATATAAGCTTTTATCATGGTAGAAATGGCTTTTGAAGTGGTATAAGAGCTTTGGGGAAGGTATGATTTCTGATAGGTATAGGATCTAGTCTATTGTGGATGCTTAATAAGTGGTTTCAACAGCTATTATTTCCACGGACTATTTCCTGGCATAAAGCTAAGAGCTATTCTGAGGCCAGACTTTTCCAGTAGGTAATCTCAGAGTCCCTTCCCACTCTAAATAACAGTGGGGCCAAAAAGCATCCTATCATCATGTCTTAGAGCTTAAAAAATCTCCGCATATATTTGAAAGATAAATCTGGATACCTGACACGGAAGTTGAAATGAATATAGAGATTGAGGAATGTTAAAATGGAATTTTTTAAAAATTTTCAACATGTAGGGAATTATGTGACTAAATATTTCCCAGTTTTGGGACTGTAACAATATATAGCGGAGACATTAGTGTAAGTCATAAAGCTAAGGATAATAGTTACCAAAACCTCTGTATGTGTGTGCACCTACATGCATGTATGTGTGTGTGTTAAAGAATGGTTTACAACCAGATAGAGTAGAGAGACAAGATAACGACTGTCTTTGTATCCTTGGTGTTTTGGTGATTTCACGCACTTGGACACATTTGATTATCACACCTCATGCCGATTCTGTGAGTCTGCAGGGGTGATGGGAATAGAAAAGCCTTACAGATCGCCTTCAGCAAAGAGTGAGTCGCCTGGTGTGGCATGGTGTGGGCAGGTCAAAGGCTGTCTACCTGCAGGGAGAGATCCATGGTCAGAGCCATGAGATGTCCACACCTCTGCCTCCCCGATACAGGGGATGAGCTCCCCAGGCCTTCCCTGTTCCAGATACAGGGATGGTCCCCACAGGGCTTCACGCAGAGGAAGGTGTCCACCTCCACCTTCACTGTACCTGAGCCACTGCCCAGAGGAGGGAGAAAGCAGGAAGAACCCTAGCTCTTCCAGGTCCATCTGTCCCTCTGTCTGAATCATCAGGTGGGCAGGCTTGTGTGTGCACGTGAATGTGAACACACACTCGCCACCCACTCATGCCTCCAAGGCTCAAAGGGCTACATAAGGAGTAGGGAACTATAGGAAACTATTCATCATGTTTCCACTTAGTCTCTTCAAAGACGCCCCTGTCCTGATCCTTTCAATCTACCTTTGTTCCCCACCTTTTAGCCAGAGTTATCTGTTCAGATTCCTTCCTTCTCCCACCCTTCTTCCCTCTGTCCTCCCCCCATCCTGGCAGTGGTGGAGACAACATCCATGCCTCATGGAAGAAATCCCTATCCCTGAAACCGGAGTCACCTGAGGACTCACCAAGACCAACGGGGACAGGCTTGTGCAGTGGTGACGAACAGCAGGAAGGCCCTCTGCAGCCGCTTCGCAGGCCTAATCTGGGCAGCCATCCCCCTGACTAGCTTTGTAAAATGTCCTTTGTAGGGCTTGGCTCTAGAATGGTGCAGACAGACAGACACACTGCCCCACAAAGACACCTACACCCAGTGCAGGGATGCCAGGTGAACGAACAGAAAAGGGCTCCCTTTCATCCAGCAGCCTTCTGATTCCAGAGGAGTGTTTCCCAGCCATGACCCACTGTTCCCCTGGCAACCGAGGCCTCAAAATAAACAGGATCCTTCTCAGCTGGGCTAGTAGTCCTCTGGGCTCAGGCATTTGCCCCAAGACAAACCATGGTAAAATAACACCCGGGGTAGTTGTTCTCACTGTTTGCCATCTCTGCCTTGCTCTCTACTGGCCACAAGCTCTGGGTTCCTGGGCCTGCTGCCTGCGGCCCAGAGTTGAGGGCAGTTAGAGTTCTGTATGCCCTGCTGCGGGTGGGTGGGGGCCAATGGAGGGAGGCAGGCCCCTCTGGTGATGAACAAGGGCAGACGACCTAGAGGCTGACACTCCCCGCTCCCCTCACCTGCCCCCCTTCTTCGCACACAGCCCTCCAGGACTGGTAGCGGCTCTGTGGCATGGTGTCTGGAGGCGGGCCAGCAACCTGATGTGCATGCCACGGCCCATCCCTCTCCCCACACAGTGCTGCAGGAACCCAGAGGTTCAGAGAGCCAGCTCCGGGCTGCCGGGGAAGCAGCCACAGCAAGGTGACGGTGACCAGGCAGTGACAGAGCACGGGACACCAAGTGGATGCCGTTTCCTCTGGGATAGCATCAGCTTCCACACTTTTCGGGTAAGAATCAGGGGTCTGTTCTGCAGCAGAACAGGTTATATCTGGAGCCGAGGGCGTGTCGGGTAAAAACAGGAGGTAACTGAAAGGGGAAAGTGAAAAAAGGTCATTCAGGCTGAGAAGCATTTTAAGCAGATAACATGGAGCCACCAGATGGGCCCCCAGTGACTCCCCAGCAGCTCACTTCTGGCCTGGGGGACCCCTGACGGCTGTGTGGGGGAAGGACTTGCAGATGGCACAGACTTGCAAACATAGCACTTCAGGTTTAGACCCCACGAAAGCAATCATGCGCCTTGCTGCTCAGTTATCTTGCTGCCCTAGGCCTGGGGGACGGAGCTGGAATGTTCTCACTCACTACAGTGCTGGAAGCAGCCCCTGTGGTCTGTGTAAGCCGCAGGCTGTGGCCGCGGTGAGACTGGCTGACATAATCTTGCTGTGTCACACTCACCCTCCCAGGAAGCCTGAAAATTCAATGCCTGGAGAGACCAGTCCACCTGGTGGGCGGCTTAGATCTTAGGAGGCGTCTGCTCTAAATGTCAGGCTGAATAATGGGATCTCCTGAGGGTGCGAGCGCTAGGTTTTGAGAGGGTGGTGCTCCCACGTCCCTACCCTGGGCCACCTGGTTACTTCTCACCTTTTGCCTGATCATCTTGGACTATCTCACCCATATCTTATACCCCTTCCACCGCACCGAGAGAAGGAGCCGGAAGGGCTAACCACTGGGCACGCGTGCTATCCACACCCTCACCGTGGCTGTGTGCCAGAAGTGTGCAGGGCTCCTATGCAGATGTGCTGGGGACATTCAGACCTCCCGGGTTGGGGTGGGAATCTCAGGCATTTAATCCAGGTCAGTTTTTCAGAGACCACACCTCTCCTCTCAGCTCCAGAGCTCGCCGCGTCTCAGCAGAATTCCAGCCCCGCTTTCTATGGTGGCTTCACAGGCACCACCCCTCTCTCCCCTTTCCTCTGTGCCCTGGGGACCAGAGCTTTTCCCTTTCATTCTCTACAGGGATGCGATTGTTCATGGTTTAGCTCCCTAAGCCCCAGGGAGAGGAGACAGGAACGTCGGGGCAGAGGGAGAGCTGGGCTGCCTCCCCAGGGCTCTGCGTGAGGGTGAGCCAGCCTGGTGGTAACAAAGGAGTGAAGAGAAAGGAGCCCTGCTTTGGGTAGGGGTGTCCGGCAGGGGCCGGCCAGCTGTTTACCAGGGCAGTTCCTGTGAATACGTGTGGATTTTGGTGGAGACTCTGATTCACAGCCACAATTCCCTTCCCCTCTGTTTTCTTTGCGTTTAGGAAAGTCCCCTTTTGAAACTATAATCTCTGAGGGTGAGAGCACCAGTTTGCTGCTGAGGGCAGCTGGCTGAAGATGCAGAGAGTCTGGTTATCCTTGCTGTTTTGAGGATGCATGGCTTTGCAAATGTTAATATAGAAAGAGTCTAGGAAGGAAACAATGAACTTCCTGTAAACTTTCTCACAAATCTGTTCACATGTGCCCTGTCTGGGCTCAAAAAGGGTTGAGAAGGCAGAACCTGGGTAAGTGAGGTGACTTCCAGGTGAGTAGCACCAAGCACGAAGATAATATTTTCTGGGGAGATGGGGAACAGACGACCATGACCTCCATTTACCCTAGCAAAGGACAGCCCTTTGTTCTGGAGGGACAGCGTGTTCATGTATTCTGTGGACCCTGAATAAGCCTTTGAGGTTCATGGAGCTGCCAGCCCGGCTGCAGCCAGCAGCCAGGAGCTAGGCCTTGCGCAGACTGCAAGGCACACCCACTTCCGCTCATCATTAAATACTCATTGCTCGGTGGAGGCGATACCCCCTGACTTAGGCTGCTGCAAGAATAATCCATAGCCATTTGCGCCACAGACATACCCTGCTTTCAGTAAAGGAATATCTATCTCTGGCACATAAATTGTGGGTGAGTATTTCTCCTTAGGAATGGATGCATTAACCAGCAATTGCTCATCAACTACCCACAAAGTGTCCCATTTCACATGTGACTGGATCCGGCCCAATCAACCACAGAGAAGGGAGGGGACCTATGAGGTGGGCTGGTTAAAGAGAGGAGCTGGGCTGACAAATCCAACTCAGCTGGAAGGAGCTCAAGGCGTAGGACAAGAGCCGCTATCTGGGCCAGTGGCCCACAGGGACCAACTCAAGGCAGGACTAGCAATTACTTTAACTCCTGAATCATACTGTATAGGAGAGGTAGCGTAATATGGTGGCTAAGTACACGGATTCTATGGCTTCAAATTCTGGCTGCCATTTATTAGACCTGTGACCTGCTTCCACTTCCTTATCTGAAAAGTAAGTAATAGAGTATACACTCTGATATGAAAAAGATCAAAGGAGTAACTGCCCTAGTGCAGTGCCTGGCTTACAGTGAGTGCCAGGGGAACATCTGCTATCATCCTGTTAACATGGGAGCTCTGCAGTGGCTGCTCACAAGTCCATTTGTTCCAGAGTCCACAGTGACATTCTAAGCATGACCATTAGGGCCACCTTTTGGCCATTTAGGCACTTTTGCTTTGGCGTGGAGCTTTGTTGGCATCTGTGAGCGTGTGGAAAACGAAGGGCTTCCGTCCTGGTCACCAGTGTTTCTCGAGTCCTTCCTTGGTCTGAGCACTGGGCCAGGCTTTTAGTTTGTCACCCCACAGGGTTGTTACAGATGCAGGACTTGAGGCTCAGTGGGTGAGCCATTCACCTGTGGTCCCACAGGTACCAAGTGACAGCCCAAGCTCCATACCCAGGCTGTCCAGTGAGTCTGTGCTCCTACCTGGGGGGGGGTCTGTATTTGCCGGGGGACAATGAGAGGTGTCCTGAGAGGCAGGTGGAATTAGCAACAGCTGATATGGGAAGACCCTAGAGATGCTAAGAGATGGCAGGACCCTAGTTGGGGCCATGGGCAGAACCTCAGCCTAGAGAACCCAGAGCTTCTAGACATGAACATAGGCACTGAGTGACAAGGCGTAATCTGGCTTTCCCAAACCATGGATGTTTTGTTTCCTGTTTCCTAAAACAGAGGAAAGGGGGCCTGATGACACAGGCATAGCATAGCAAGCGTGCTGGCCAGGACTCCCTACACCCCTTACCCTCAGGTCAGAGGTCGGCTTGAGCTAAGCCTGAGGTTCATGCTACCTAACTCTAGTTGTGGGGAGAGGAACAGAGAATCCAAAACTAAATGTCTTGACACATACGGTTTACAGTAACGTGAAAGGTCTGACACTCTAAAGAGAACATTTAAGGTGTCACATATTGAGATGACGCTCCTGCACAGGTGGTCAGGACTGCTCCTCTGACTCTGTGTGAGGGATGGGGTGTTACTGAGAGGTGTGAGGGGTGGGCCCCCAAGAGGACTGCCCATACACACGCCTCATCGGTGCTACCCAGAAACTGTGCTGGCCCAGTGGGTTCTCAAACTTTTATGTGCATTAGGACCCCAGCGGAGTCCTCCATGCGGTGACTTGCTGAGTTCGTGAGAGACCCTGGACTCTGCACTTCCCGGGTGGGATCATGTGTTCCCGATGCCTGTGATCCACAGGCCACAACTGAAACTGCTGGGGTCTGGCTGTCTCCCTCAGTCCCTTTCCTTTGCTACTCCTAAGGGGAGCAGAGTCCAGTGGCCTGAATCAGGGGCAGTTAGCCTCTTCTGGTTGTCATCTCTTCCTGAATAACACTGAGACCACACACTGAGTTGGTGTTAGGCACAGTGCTAAGCTATTCACTCGTGTCATTCAGTCCTTAACGCCTGGCTGCAATCCTGTAAGTCACATACTACTTTTACCCACAGTTTATAAGTGAGAGCAAAGGCCCTATTGCCAGTAAGTGGCTTGAAACCCAGGAGAGGCACCTAACGAGAGCCCAACACCTGTCCACGAGGCCCATGGTGATGAACCTATGGCACGAGTATTATTTGTTTTTCTTTAAAGACAGAAGATGTTGAGGAGTTTTTTCTAAACTCAAATCTCCATATGCAGGTTTAGCTGCAGTGTTGGCACTTTGTGATAAATAAGTGGGTTTTGGGTTGCAGTTAGGGCTCTGGTCTCTAAAAGCTTCTCTACACTAGGCTATTGGGAGCGGTTTCGATTGCTGTCTGCCCAGCCATCCTTCCTCTCCCTTAGGTGGGTGTCTCTCCAGTTCACGTTTCCATTTTGTTTGCCTCACTCCCATACCCCCATAATTTCTTCAGATCCTGTGTCCCTGTGCTTCCCCATTTTATTTCATCTGATGAACCACAGAGTGCTGCGGAAATGGGCAAATGGAGGTCGGTGTGTCACAGGTTAAGACAGATGCTGAAATTAACCCCCTAGCCCTGGGATCTCAAGGCCTTATTTGGAGAAAGGATCTTTTCAGAGATAACCAAGAAAAAAACGAGGCCATCAGAAGGGTCCCTAATCTACAATGTCTGCTATCTTTATAAACCCGGGAAATCTGGACACAGAGATGTGTACAGAAGGAAGATGACAATGAAGAGACACAGGATGAAAGCCTCCATCGACAAGCCAAGGAGGGAGGCCTGAGACAGATCCTTCCTCACAACCTTAAGATGGAACCAAACTTGCCCACACCCAGAACTGAGAGAACGAATTCCTGTAGTTTCACCCACTTAGTCTGTGGGACTTGTTACAGCAGCTCCAGAAAAGGCAGAAAGTAGGAAACCAGATTCTGTATTCCCTGACGAGGTTATCATCTGGGGGCGATCTAGGTGAAATTCAACATATTATGCTAAGTCGCAACAACTTTAAAAAAGAAAAAGAAAAGCTCTGAGTATCTTTCTATTGTCTTAAATGGTATCTTGGGTTTGGGTGTAGCTCAGTGGTAGAGCGTCTGCCTGACATACACAAGGCCCTGAGTTTGACCCTACTACAATCAAACACACCCATTCACACACATGCACACCACACACACCAAAAACAGTATTCTCAGGAGCTACAAGTAGGCTTAAGGCCCAGGAGAGAAGAACTAAATAGAAAAGGTGAAGAGGGAGGAAGAAAGGGAAAG